GAATACCAATATATGTCGTAAAGCATACAATTGTTTTATTCACTTTTCTTATGGTGACAAGATATTTATAATTTACAATCCACTTAATATCTAAGTAATTTGAGTAATCCTCAGAAGTCCCAAAGATTAGGTAATATCAACAACAGGGATAATATAGTAGTTATATTTTATTAATTTCCCGAAGGAGAAGTTTATGTTTTCATCAATAAATCCGATTCGCCAATTTTGTTTTCTCGACGTTTCAAGCCATTCTGAATCGAATGAGACCAAATTTGGAAAAAGTATGCGTGTGTGTGTGTGTGTATGTGAACAGATTTTTTGCTGTAAATCGACGTTTTCTCGAAAACGGCTGGGCCGATTTCAAAACTTTAAAAGCCATTCGATGTATGTCGACGAGGACTATCGTTTGTCAGTTTTGTGCGACGATTTGCCAAGCCGTTTCTTTGTAATTTGAAAAAAAAGTGTTAAACTTTTCGTCCACATTTAAGCTCATCCTACCTACCCGATTTTAAAAAATCAAAAGCTGTTGAAAAATATTAGTTGGGAATGGTACTAATTAGTTTTAGGTGAAAATCTACCGAGCCGTTTTCTTGTAATTAACTGTTGAAAAAAAATTTAAGGCGATTGTTATGGATTTTTTTTAGCGATATATATCATGGTCTTATACAACATATTAAAATATTACAGCCTTACGACAAGTAGTTTAATTTTAAAAATTCATCAAAGTTTGAGAAAATGAGTAGTTTTTTTGACGTCAGCTAAAATTAAAATTAGATGGATTTACTTGGTATAACAATCTAATATTTGGTCTTAATAAACATTAAAATCCTACGGAAATTGGTTCAAATATAATAATTGTTGATTTTTGTAAAGTTGCTTTTTGAAAATACTCCGAGTTAACGTGTTCGTTCGTTTTCAAATATGTGTAATTAATCTATGCATAAATTAATTCATTTTTTATTGATTAAATCGATTATTTACACATATAGGGAAGTACATGTAACTTGCCTCAAGGCTAGATACCAATACCAACTAGTTTTATATAAGCTTTAAAAAGTTTCATTCTCTGTTAACTCGATTTTATTATTGGATTTTCAGTTACAACTCCATTGAAACTTTGAATTTCTCCATCTCCCCTGAAACATTATCCAAATTTTGGCTACGCCGCATGTATTAGTTTCCATTGTCCCTATAGGTATATCCTAGCTAATTGTTTGCAAGTACGCGTGGAATATCGTCATGTCACATGTAGTAAATTTATCATTAACATGAACCCACGACATCTTGACATCTTCGTATTATTTGCAAATGAATGCCTTCCAGTTCAGAAGCAATTAATTATTCAATATGTAAACCCTTACAACTTACTATGTGATTGCGAATAAATCATCCGCGCTATTAAACACCGACTTAACAGGCTCATATACAGAAAAGGACAAAGTGGGATTAAAGACCGACTGAAAATATTAGATGTTGTGTTCGTTCTGGGTTTGATGATAACTTATCACAGTACTGAGAAAAAAAGTAAAAAAAAAACAATGTAATATTTTTTTTCTTGTTCTTTTTGTTTTTAAGTATTATTCACGATTAATAAAAGACTTCATTTAAAGACTTAACTAACCAAACGTTACTTACTAGAAAACTTTTACTCAAAACTACTAATAGCATATACACAAACGTATATATACAATGTTACATTTTTCAACTAATCTATACATCAAATTTAGGTGAAACTATCAATCATACATCAATACCCTATGATAATGTTAAATTAAGTATAAGTTACTTATATTTGATTTACAGTGACATTATTGATTGCTCGTGTTATGTTTGGACATATTTTCGTTTTATTATATTGACCATGAAGATGACAATCTTCATGACATTGAGCTTTACACAGGATGGTTGCTAACCCTTGTATAGGAGGTAGCTGATAGTTTTGATTGGACAAATTTATCACTTCCAAATGTAAAGTCCGCGCAACAATATGTATAATAAATAAATAATAAATATATTTCCTTTCATTATAACTTAATGACAAATCAGTGATTGTAATAAGAACTGCAACAAATACATAATATAGAAACAAATCCATGTTTAATACAGTCCACACCTACAAGGGTTAGATTATAGCCCAACAACCTGAGTTATCGAAGGAGAGTTTTAATAAATTTTATAAATACGTAGCATAAATACATGTTATTTAATTTTTATTTTATTATAATTATGTTAAATCAATTTATATCCAAGATCTGCATTTCACCGCATATCCGAACAATTTAAATGATTTATTCTGAAGATTTCCAAATAGTTTGCTATCTACTTCAATGCGTCTAGCATTTAAAATAACATTGAAAAAAGCTCAGCCGCTGAGCTTTCATAAAGCTCCCGTCGAGTGGCACATGCAATCACATCATATGTAATTTCTCACATGTTGACATTGTCGAGAGAAGACACACTCGATGTCACGTGCGTCTGCGCGTCGTCACCAATTAGTGGCGACTCCCAAACCCAAAACATTATTTATTTGCATGTGTAAACGAACAGATTTGGGTGGTGACATAGATGGAGAGATAGGATGTGAAACTATTTGAAATTAAAATCGAGCACAAGTATTTATTTAAAAATTTAAGAAAATGTGTGAAAAAGTTACCATCAATACTAAGTTTTTGGAAAGAACTAATCTTGTTGCTTTCCAAAGAAGTGCATTGTAAACTATTATATTTTGCAACATTAACAAAAACATCATTTTGGGGCTTACATGATGATCTGAATATTTTATATATCGAGAAAGTAATAAGAAACTTCAGTGTCCACCACTTTCAAAAACTAGAAGCCCATCCAAATAAAATAGTTGCACAACTGCTTGAGATACCACATTCCAGGAGGCTCAAGCGTAAATCACCAATGGATAATATCCTAATCTAGCAAATTGTTTAATGGAACTATTTCTATATTTTTATACTAAATCATCAAAAATATGTTAGTTAATTTAATGTTTTTTGTAGTATTATTATTTTATTTTATAATTCATTATTATTATATATTATTATTATTATTTATTGCTATTTTTATGTTATTATCTTTATTTATTCTTATTTAGTTTATTCTTTTTAGTTTATATACATTAGCATAGCAGCTCATAGAATGTAATTATTGTTCTGATTGCTGTATAATAATAAACTAGCTGTAAGTGGAATTCTGTCTTAAGGCAATTAGGGCATCGTGCCTTAAGGCAAATTGCTGGAACTTCCCGTACCAAAAATTATTATTTTTTTAAAAACGATTAACATTTTTTATAAAATTTTACTTCGAAAAAAATAGATTTTTGAGAAACTATAAATTTGACAAAAAATTACTTTTTCTTGAAAAAAAAAATTTTTTATTTGAAAAAAAAAAATTTTTTTTTGAAAACAAAAAATTTTTTTGAAAAAAAATGTTTTCTTCATCTTGACATATTTTGGAAATTCTGAACTTTTTTTCAAAGCAATCGCACTGCTGAACTGCATAGAGACGAAATGTCAAAGCTAGCAAGTGTCGCGCCGCCGTCTAACGCATAATCATTGGTACGGAACCCATAGAAATGTAAAAAAAAATTTATACTTATTGTTAAAATCTCTATAAAATATCTGATAATTTGATGTGCATATGTCTAATGATCATTTTAACCGCCGAATGGCATTTTTTTTTACTTTTTTTATTAGATCTCCGAAACCGCTAGACCTGCCTTCATGAAAATTTGATCAATTCTACATCTTGTCAATACAAGTAAAATGTTTTTTGAATTATTCAAATCGGACGCTCCGTTCTCTTAAAAACGGAGGTACCGTTTTTGGCACTTTTTGCCCCGTATCTTCGGCACGGCTAGACCTGCCTTCGCCAAAAACTAATCAGCACGTCTCCTTATCAATACGAAACGAATGTTTTTGAATTATTCAAATCGGTTGATCTGTGTTCCCGAAATCGTCGACGAAAATTTGTATCCGCACATACATACACACACGTACATACATACATACATACATACATACATACATACATACATACATACATACATACACACACACACACACACACACACATACATCCATTTTTTCTAAGGTATGCCAAAATGTTCAGAAACCTCTGAAACGTAAAGATATATAAAAATTTCATTTTCGATTTTTTTGCGATTACTATAACTTACCCTACGGGAAGTTAATAAATGAAAAAAAATTTTTGGGGCTTATCAGAGAACTTTACAGTATTAACAAAAAAACAGATTTTTAGATTCTTCCCATACGTCACTTCAGTTAGTTAATCAATTTGTAGTTTTCGAATCTCATAAAGAGAAAAAGTAATTTTCTTATTCTTAATATTTTAAAATTTAATGTTTGTCCATTATATTGTCACCAACCCCAGAAAATCAATTTACGACACCACTGACATCATGTGCGTGCACTTGGAGTATTTGTATAATTCTACATAATTTTGCGGGGGTTGTGTCGAGTATTTGAGTATGTTAATGAGAACGCGTGTATCATCGCAATTAAATCATCCAGGGCAAAGATAAATCATCACACCTCAAGGGACGTTTGTGTAGTAAAGGGTTGTTTAGGGTTCTCATGGATATCTCATTCACTTATTTTTCAATCTCATCTTTCTTTATAAACTACTTTTTTATCAAACTACCATCCAATAGATAAGTGAATCAATAAACAGTAAACATAATATATAAATAATGTATATAGTTTAATATTTAATTTAAAAAGTTTAATTTTTAATATAGTATATAGTTATATATACTCTGTTTTCAAATTAAAATTAAATTTCATAAGATGAAAAACAATATCTTACAAAAATTTTATAAAAAAATTATTAATAATTTTTGTTTTCAAGTAATAAACTATAATTTTCAAGTGTTTTTTTTTTTAATTCAATTAGAATATAGTAATATTTAGAAGCTAGCTCGGATTAAAAGAAATACCACATAATAACTCTATTTCTCTTCTTCCAATTAGAATTATCCTCGTTTCCAATTAGATGTCTGGAATAGTAGAAATGTCCGAGTCGAGCACCATTTGGCCATGTGTTCTGCGAGCAGTCGAGGCGAAGTGATTTGCGACCCACTTCACTGCTCGATGATTTATAAGCATTCTCTTCGAAATTTATTCCTCCCTGATATCATATACCCTCACAGTACTTTCTGCCCGCATGAGGGTACTACTTGGTAATTCTTCAGGAACTGAAACTTCTCAAACTTAGACATAAAAAAAATCAGTCTATATCTGATTTCCTGAACACTGTTTTATTTCCATTTATAAATTTGAATCTGTCTATAATGTTAATACAATTGGTAAATATTTTGTTTAACAAAAATGTTGATTAGAAGCATAGATAAATAAGTTGATTAGAAGGCAATGCTGTAGTCCTTTCTAGTTGTTAAATATTTTATTTGTAAATAGTACTTTTAACCTTCAAGTAGGAATTTAGCAAGTAAGCTTACAATGTCATGAAGGAATTGATATCACTGTTGATCTATTAGATCGGCTACTACCTGGTAACTTGTAGTTGAAAGGACAAAGCTTTACTACTTTCGACACGAACTTTTCTCTCCCGAAATCGTGAATATTTTTTATACAAATACATATACACACACACACACCACATATATATATATATATATATATATATATATATACAATTTTATTTATAATCTAATACACATCAATTTTTTATGGTGTCAAAAAATATTCAGAAGATAATTAAACGAGCCAAATATAATATGAATCTTTATTTTTTACCAAAATCTGCTATTACCTTATATAATTATTATTGTTTAAAACTGATAAATGACTTTTTATGCTAATGAATAATGAATTTGTGATTATAATTCTTTTGAGAACATCTGTGTTAATAAATTCACGCGCCTAAAACAGCAAATCCACCCGTAAATAGAGTTCGGTTTACGATTTGTTGAGGTTTCGCATTTTTTTTTTTTTATTTTCGCACGATGGTGCACATTAAAGCTAAAACGAAGGGAGGAGGTACTTTAGGACCCATAGCGATGAGGTGCGTGTGCTCTGGGGTCATTTAATGTTTACTACTAAAAAAGCAATGTCCTAAATTGACTCAAATAAATAAAAAGGCATACGGACTCGACACCCGGTCGTATACACTTTAGTTTGATAGACAAGTGGCTGGATATCGCATCCAGAAGGTTTAAAAATAGATGTATTAAGTTTATTAACATAGAATTTTCTCAGTTGAAAATTCGCACTATTTTTTACGGTTTACATATATATTTATAGTCGATCAGAATAAATTTTATAGGTTTGAGGAGATACCCCTTTTACAACTTCATACTTTAAATCGTATGAACATTTTATGTTCAGTCTACGTGTCAGAAATTCTTAAATTAATTTATTTAAATAATGATTTAGGTGACCTGTCTTTAAATATCTCTATAACTTGCTAATTTTTAATATGTGATTAATTTAATTTACTACCATGATTATATTTACAATTGGACTATACATACTACTCGTACTTAACACTGATGCAATGTCTTACATTTATTTTAATCTTTATATTTAATTTATTAAGATAATACAATAACCAATATTATATTTTAAGTTTAATCACAGTTGCAATTTTCTTAAAATTTGTCAATTCATGAGAACCATTGATTAATAAATAGGCAATCCAATCAGATTCTGAGCGGAAAATAAGCAGTCAAACTTTTAGTTTCTAAATGCTAATTTTCTATATGTAAAATAAATAATTTTGTTAGAAATGAAACAACTTTTCGCATAAATCAAAATAGTTTTCTATTTATCCAAACGCATTCTCATGTTTTTTAGCCCTTATACTATTTCGTATACAATATAATGCACGACTTGTTCGATTTATTTTCTCTCGCAAATGAAATAAACATCATGGACAGAATTGTATTACCATTGTGTCTTTCCACATTTTATATATAATGGACTTTTTGGCATTCTGGCAGTAAAGTCCTGCTAAATATGTACTAATAGAAATAATTGTTTAAAGAATCAACCACCAAACTTTTACCAACTTAATTCGCCTAAATTTTAGGCCCTAAAAATGACATTAACATTAGCCTAATCAACTAAATCATTTTTTTTAATTATTAGTTAATTTTTAAATAAAATAAGTACTTATTTACAGTATTTCAATTTTAAATTTTTTAACAGAAAGCTTAAAAATGCAATAAAATATTTTTTTCCCCTAATTTTACGTTGAAACAAATTTATGAAAAAAGCGTCCACGTCCGTGACTAATATGTGATTTACGTTTATTGCAGTGTTATAAATTACATAAAATTCAATATAAAACTGGAATTTACTTCAAAATAATGCTCATACACGCACCAACAATATATTTCAATAATATTATATACGTTATTGAAATAAAGTACTTTATTGGTTTGGTAAAAGGTTTTAATATTGGTTCGGAGAAATTATTTATAGATATTTTTATTTTTACTCCAAATTTTTTATTATTAATATATTTTATCACTTACAATCCTGGTTAATAAATAAATGCGCCAACTTTTGATGAAACTCGCCAACACACTTTAGTACATTTTATATAGGAAATTTTAAATTTGTAGTTCAACAAAAAGTGGTTACTCTTGCAAACCTAGGGCAAATCATCATTACTTTTTACTGTTGTTCTAGAAATCTTATAGACCAAAATTCATAAAAATTAATGACAATAATCTAAAATTGGTCTCAATTTCACCAAAGCTCAAATTTGCACTTAAAAGCCCATAACTTCCAAACAACGTGAGATAATTTTTTTCTATTTCTTTTCGGCTTGACATCAAGCTCTGGGACTTGACTATATATATTATATAATATTGAATTTCGTATACATGTGATAATAATCTGTTTTCCATTAGGTATGTACGATTTTATTTTTATTAAATATTGAAACGTATTTAAGCCACATTTATAAATCCGCATTATCACTTCATAAGATACGTGCTCTTCTTCCTTATATTTTTTCAATTCATTTCCGATTTTGGTGTGTCTGACTTTGAAAAGACAAGATCGTTTTCTCATATGACGTTTTGATTTGAAAATTTTCAATTTTAAAGCTGCCAACGTGTAAGAATATCCGTGTGAGCGAGTCAATCCCAAAAAGGAAATTAATATCCTCTCGAAACGATTGTCCTGTTCGGTACTATGGCGTTTCCATTTCTCGACGGAACTCGGAAAACCTTAAATATTTTCTGATTATCATGTATGGTACATGTGGATGGTGAGAGTGGTAGATTTTGACTCATATGGATTAGGTTTATATGAATATGTATAGTGATCTCTTTAAAACTCTAAACAATTATAGTAAGTAGTAAATCTGATTAAATATATTTTAAACATATTGAGGTAATAAAACCATCGATGGCATAAACCAGTAAGGTTTATTTAATTTTTTTGATTTTGGAAAATTTATTAAATTTTAATTTAACTTTCCAATTTTTTTAGTGAACTTTCTATTTGTAAAGTGTAAAATTATAAGAATAAGATCAAGATTTAATTTTGATGAATTAGTTGTTAATTTATATATTTGTTTACAATTATATTTACCATAATTGTTGTAGGTAACATTTTTGCTTAAGCCAAAGATGATATTCCAGATGTATATAAAGAATCGGCTATAGCTAGTTAATAAAAAAATCTGAATAATAGAATGTAGAGTAACTTTAAAAAACTATTTCAAATTAATCCATTTTGACAAATAGTTCGAATATTAAGTATTTATCGAAAAAGAAGTGCAATAGTTACTTTATTAATATTCATAATTGCCCAGACTACTTTCGTATACTCATGATATTTCAGGTCCAAAAATTAAATTTATTTGTAATTAATTTCATTAAATTACAAAGAACTAACTTATACAATAAGCTGCCTTTGAAAAAAAAACATTATTCAAACCAATTTGGTGCTGTGGAATACAATTATGGAGTAGTGCGTTTAAAACTAATATAAAAATAATTAAAAAAATTCAGAACAAATTTTTGAAAATTTTCTTGGGAGCAACAAAATAAATCCCGAACTGGCTGAATCATCTCGAACACACCTACCATAAAAATGTAATAACAAAAACAGTGCATAAATATAGAAACAAACAAGCTCATCATTCATCCAAATTCACTAGCAAACTCTTTAATAACAGAAAAATGTCGACGTAGATTTAAGAGAAAATATTCACTTTATTTAAGTCATCAATTTTCCTGATAAAAATTCAAATAACTTAGCTAATATTTATAAAAAAAATATTTTAAAAAAATCAAAGGAGGGCTCTTTGGTAAGTGGCTAGAGCGACTGTTATTAAGGACCTGAATCAATAATAACTTTTCTGTTATTAAGGACCTGAATCAGAAGTTCCTGGTTCGATCTCGTTTCGAGGAGCCTGATGTCCAGCAGTAGTGACACCAGTTTTTACCTGGAAATATATGAAAATGGCTCTAATTCGCCATTGCTGCACCAATAAAATATTCGCCATATTACAGAAATTGTAATAATAAATTCTGTCACACAGAGATGAGTCGACTGTTTTAGTTGCCACATGTAAAACCGAGGCAGTATTAAGTCAAATCTCTAAAGTACTGATTGCTGGTCAGAAACAATATATAAAATAATACAAAGGAACGACTCAGCCGATTTATGCCAAAAAACTGATCGTCATAAATTACAGTTGATACCATCAGAAAAATTTTCGAATGTCCAATGATGAAGCAAAGCTAATCCTAATCCTAAACGTGTTTAATCAAAACGCTTTAAAATTTTTGAAATGTTGAAACCTAACTGTTACTGTTGAAAATCTTGGAATAAAAAAAAAACAAATCAAATCTTTCACTTTTACCAATGTCTATAATAGTAACTAATTACTGTCGATTGCTTTTCCTGTCTATTATTTTTGGCATTTGATTCAATGACCCATTCCATTTTCGATTAATCAATCGTCGAACAGGATATCTCACGTTCTGAGTACAATTTTAGTACGGGGGCGCATTGTGTCCTGTCCGCCCACTGCCCTCGAAAGGCTACAAAAGCCACGCCTAGCATGCGACGAATATCTGCACCCGCCTTCGGAAAAAAATCTGTGAAGGAAGGTGGATTTATAAATAAATTTACTTTGAGCTGCTGAAATCACGGTTAAAATTTAACAATATACTGTTAGATATAAAGTGATGATATATATAAATTGAATTTAAAAAAAA